GACTCATAGCGACCCCTGCTAGGGTTTCTGAGACAGTCTCACTATGAAAGTAGATTGTGCAACTTCCTTCCGAGGAGTGGCTGGTGGGTTTGAACTGCCAGCCTTCTGGTTAGCAGTCAAGTGCCTTAGGCACTATGCTACCAGAGCTCCTATCTTCTTTCTTAGATGTGCATAATAATAATATACCTTATAAATCAATGGTGACTAAGACTTGAAGGTGGAAATAATCTTTCCCAACATGACCACCACTATTTAAAATAATTTTAGGAATATATTTCAGTAACATTACTCCTATATAACACTGAACCCATAAGTAAATGAGTTTAAAAACAGAAGTCACAATCATAGTGATGCTGCTTAAGTTACGATAACAATTAAATAACTGAAAAGCTAGACGTATTCAATGATTGCTGAACTTAGAAAAATCTTTACACACCTTACCTGTTAATCACTCACAAAGTGGCAAATGCTCTTTGGTTACATACCAGATTCTCCTTTATATCGGATATTCTGAAATTCTGCATAGAAGACAGCTTTCTCAAGCATTCCCAGGAAGATTACAGCACCAATCCAAAACTGAATTCTCAGGAGATCTCGCCAATAGCAGGCAGACCATGCCAGCCAGAGAACACCAAACAGGACATACACAATACACATCACCATGAAAAACTGTCATTCAAGTGGGTAAGAGATAAAAGAGAAAATCAGGGACAAGAGCCAAGTATCTAGACTTAATATCAATATATAGTCTTAACAAATCACTAAATAAAACAAATAAACCTTGTATTTAAAAAATAATTATTTTGTTCCTTCAGAATTTAATATGAACACAAACAACTGTCTTCTCTTGAGCAGAGAGACATGATATAAAGACTAATCCTCATGTGCTACCCTCCTGTATTAAAAGAGCTTTTGCAGCTCACAATCTCTAATTGTGTAAAAGAAGAAAATACTGAGGAAGAAGAAAAGGCACGGCAGGGTTAGGATACATCTGGAGAGATTGAAATGCTAAAAAATGGGAAAACCTAAAAAGGATAAAGAGGAAGAACATAAAAACATTCATGAACAAAGGAAATCAGGAAATAGATTAAGGATATTCTCATACACACAACAATGAAAACAATGAAGCTTTGCCATTTGTTAACTTTAAGTGGGATCAGAAACTACAGCCTTGTAGTAAGGAGTGCCCTTTGATCCCAGAGAACATGAGATGGCCTCTAAGGTGCTTTTCAATGCTAAAATTCCAAAGTCATCAACCTCTTCATTTTACAGATGAGAAAGTAAGGTACAATGAACCCTCCAAGATCACAGTCTAGTAAGAAATCCAAAACTAGAAGCAACATTTACTGAGCTTTTCAGGAACAATATTTTTAAAAATAATATTGTCATAAAACTTGGATAATTCTTCAAGCTAAATTAATTTAATCTTGATGTTAAAGAATGTGAGTTCACTTACAATCATCAATGGATATTCTTCAAGTGTGAGGTACTCATAGGGACCCTTCACTTCAACAGTCACTGCAAAACACAATTCTCAGAATAAATTTAATGAATGTAGAAATGGAGAACACCATCTCAATTTGTTTAACGGAAGTAATGAACTTCTGGATCATTTACTTTTAACCATTTAAATCCTGGTGAATATTACCTTACATTCCTACAGCACACCTTGAAGTTCATTAAGTGTTCTCATAGTTCACGTTGTGTCCTACACACGCCTACATGCCTCTGATCCAGGCAGTATCTAAATATTTTAAGTGGAAAAGTCCTTCTGTTCCCATACACTTATCCTTTAAAGCACAGATTAAATGCTATTCCCTCCACAATGTCTTCTCTAAGCTTCTCAACTATTCTCTACTTCTTCTATACCCCAAACACAATTCAAATATACTCTTCTTACAACTCAGGACTAATATCCTTTGAAAAGTATAGGACCTCATTCTTTCATCCAGGGCTAGATTACAGAGTCCTAAGCATTGATAATAAATGGTGATATATATATATATATAAAACATATGTGTGTGTATGTGTGTGCCTTAACTAGCCATGATGTAACTTCTTTGTAAAAATGTCAATCAACTTCTTAAAAGAAAAAAATCAGTCTGAAGGGAAACGGAAAATAAAATACATTTCTCTAATTTTTATTATCTAAACATTCATTTCCTTAAAGAACTGTTCAAATTCCTTATACAGAGATACATAAATATTCTGATAAAATATAATCTTCTTATAAATGCTCTTAGTTGCTTTCTTGGAAGATGAATTCAGAAACATACTCAGTGTTGCAAAACAGAAAATATATTTTACATGATAAATATTGAATTATAAATCTTAATACGACTACCTACTGCCATCAAGTTGATTCCAACTCACAGCGACCCCATTTGTTTTCTAAGGCTGTAAATCTTTATGGAAGTAGATTGCCCATCTTCCTCCTGTGGAGCAGCTGATGGGTTTGAACTGCCAGCCTTCTGGTTAGCAGCCAAATGCCTTATCCTCTACACCACCAGAGGTGCTTCTTAATATGCCCAATGCCTTATTTATTAGCACATATAGAGCAGTATCAAGCAGTTGCATGCAACAGATAATAAAAAGTGAAACTCACTTGATATATAAATCTTTTAATGTTAGATAAATATTAATACTTCTAGTATTTTTTGGATGTTAGCTATGTATTATATTATTACCCATGTTAGTATTATATCGCATTATATGGCATCTACGTGTATGCCAAACATTTTAGTTATAATATTTTTTTATAAAACTTAGGATCTAACTCAGGAGCTCTGGTAGCTTAGTACCTAAGGCACTTGACTGCTAACCAGAAGGCTGGCGGTTCAAACCCACCAGCCACTCCTCGGAAAGAAGATGGGGCAATCTATTTCTGTAGTGATACTGCCTCGGAAACCCAAGTGGGGTTGCTATGAGTCGGGTGTGACTCGATGGCACATAACAACAACAAGGATATAACTCTATATGTAAATGCTTTATAGTTAAAAAGAAATGTCATTGTATTCACTGCAATGATTGACCTATTCAAATTCCTTGGTTTTGCATGTCATTTGGGGCTGGAGTTCCCATTGGTTGTTTACTAGGACTTGAGCAAGAGCATACTCTCATGTTTGTATCATGGCAGAAAGCACTGCTGGGCCTCCTGGCTAGAGTTGCTGGATCAGCAGACATGGATGTACAAGATCCAAAAAACAAACCAAACTAACTGCCATCAAGTTGATTCCAACGCACAGAGACCCATTTTGGGTTTCCATGGTAGTAAATCTTTATGGAAGTAGATTGCCCTGTTTTCTCTCCATGAAGCGGCTGGTGGGATTGAACCACCAACCTTCTGGTTAGCAGTCAAACGCCTTAGGCACTACGCCACCAGAGCTCCTTGGATGTACAAGATAGTTCCCTCAAAATCCATCAGAGCTTTATTGTCAATTAATATCATCTGTCCTTGCCCAGTAATGACGCATGTTGGATTCAGTTGCATATTGGGTGAATGTAGTAAGAGTTAGACTCAACAGCCCACTCCCACCTCTTGTTTATTAGAAAGCAATAGTGTACTTCCAAGAGACCCACTGGGATAAGGAATTTCAATTCCTTATAGGAGGAAACAATAGGAAACAGATGTCAACAAAGGTGTTAAAGTGAGAGCCTCATGGCTTAAGACACCCTGGTGTGTAGGCACCCTCATGACCCTGCATGAACATTATTCCTGGCCAGAGCATTCTCATACACTGGAGCTGGTATCAATTTCACTTAGTGCCCTGACAGTTCTCTTCCACTGTGGTGCTCACTTTTCCTTATGTCCTATCTGCTTAGCATAGTTAGGTCTTTGGTTTAGACAACTGGTGACCCTGTTTTGTTGATGTCCTAAGCATGTGTTTACTTTGCTTATTTGTTAATCCATTCCTGCTTTCATCCCTCTTACTTAATTTTCACTACTGCTTCATATTTTTTACCCACTTCAATTTGATGTGATCTTGCTATATTAATATGTCTTTGTAAGCCATCTTAGATCTTTTTCAGAATGAGATAAGGTATTTAAAAACAAGACAAACAAACAAAAAACGCTAGGAATTCACACACATAATGTATCCTCGCTGATAAAATAATGTAAAATACTATCCATCTTCCCAATCACATACCCTGGATCCCAAACTGAAAACAAAACTTCAGACTGATGCAAAGCACTATCCACTACAGAACTGGACCTTCCCAAAACTTGCTAGTTAATACTTTTCAAAGTTTCTGTAACTAATAACAAATTATGTAATTAATGAGGCAAAGCAAGTGACAACAACAACATGAATTTGAAAGACAGATTTGCCTTACTGAAGCAACCCTGCTATTATTTTAAGATTGTTTGAAATTAATAAAATTACTTGGTTTAATTCTAGGTATGATTAATTAATAAAAATTTGATGGATCTGACAATCATTCCCAGATACTAGTAACTGTCCACACAACAAAAATTTCCTACTAGCTTTTATAAGGCAAGAAAGATACATATTAGTAAAAGTAAACCACGCCTACTAATTAATTATATGAATAAAAAGGAGAATCCCATAGTAGTAATCTTATAAAAATTTCAAAGCAGAACTGCTTACTAAATTCTACTTCTGTATCTTCTTAATGCAACAAAAGAATAAAACAATTAATGAATGTTTGTATCACATTCTTTACTGACCAGGGGTCATAAAATATAGCATATGCACCAAATCCAGCCCTCCGACTATTTCTGTAAATAAAGTTATATTGGAACATAGCCACATCCATTTATTTAAGCACTGTCTATGGGTGGTACCAGTTCAAAGCCACCAGCCACTCCTCGGAAGGAAGACTGGGCAATCTACTTCTGTAGAGCTGCCTCAGAAATCCAAGGAGGGGTTGCTATGAGTCGGATCCAACTCGACAGAGTGAGTTTGGTTTTGGTTTTGGTTTATGGGTGGTACAGTGGTTAAAACACTGGATTGCTAACCAAAAGTTCAGCAGTTCAAACCCACCAGCCGCTCCATGGGAGAAAAATGAGGCTGTCTCCTTCCATAAGGATTTACAGCCTTGGAAACCTTCTGGGGCAGTTCTACTCTGTACTATAGGGTCGTTATGAGTCAGAATCAACTTGATGGCAGGGAGTGAGTTTATGGTTGCCTTGGTACCAAAATGGCAGAGCTGTACAGCTGCCACAACAAAAAAATATTATCTAGCCCTTTATTTAGGAGCTCTGGTGGCGTGGTGCCTAAGTCATTTGACTGCTAACCAGAAGGCTGGCGATTCAAACCCAGCAGCCACGCCTAGAAAGGAAGGTTGGGCAATGTACTTCTGTAGCGATACCACCTCGGAAACCCAAGGAGGGGTCACTATGAGTCGGATCTGACTCCACAGCAGTGCATGCATGTGTGCATGTGTAGCCCTTTAAGTCTGCCAACTGCTGCTCTATGTTAAAATGAAACATACAATTACTGAGCACTTATGTGGCAGGCACTATGAAAAACACAGGCAATAGAAAGATGAACATGATGCGTGCCCTCTAAAGGATTACTATCTAGGAGTTGAAAAGCTAGATCTCTGAGCAGACCTAGGAGGATGGGTATATATTTTCCAGGACAGTAGAAAGCCTTCCAGGCAGAGGAAGCAACACAAACAAGGACAGGTGTGAAAGTGCATGGCACATTTAAGGAACACTATAGTCTGAGATGACTCATGGTACCAAATAGTGTAATGCAGCAAAAGGTAAACTAGGTAAGAATGGAAAGGGCTTTATAAGCTTTGCTGTGGAATGAAGACATTTTAGAGGCAAACAGGAGTCAACAAAGGTTTTAATGAAGAATGAAGAGAAGTAAAAGGACAGAACAGTTTTAGAAGGCTAATCATAGGACTTTCAGATAAGACAGCATAGTTAGTCCATGCTTTAATGTATATTTCCGCTCCAAGCAAGAGATATATAAACATTTAAAAAAAAACAAACCCAAAAGCATTATAATAGATTGAATTATGTTCCCCTCAAAATTTGTGTCAGCTCACATTCTCAGTGGTTTAGAAGTTATGTAATGATAATACCCCATGATGTGATCTGATGTGATAAGCCAATCAGGTGTAAGTGGATTAAGGGTGTGATGCAAGCACCCTCAGTCCCATCACAGGCCTAATCTGATTTAAGGGGAGCTTCCCTGGATTGTGGCCTGCAACACTTTCCATCTGACAAGAGGTAAAAGGAGAGAGAAGGGAGCAGAGAAGGGGACCTACTACCACCAAGAAAGAGGCACCAAGAGCAGAGCACATCCTTTCTACCCTGGGTGCCTGTGCTGGGATCTTCCTAGAACCAAGAGACACAGAGAGAAAAAGCCTTTGCCTAGAGCCAGCACTCTGAATTCAGATTTTTAGCCTCCAAAACTGTGAGAATAAATTTGTTTGTTAAAGCCATCCACTTGTGATATTTCTGTCACAGCAACATTTTATATATACATACATACGTACACACACACACACATTGGAAGAGACTAGCATAATCTGATATATCAAAACTAAACAGAATCTCAGAATAGTGTATGTGGATCATGAATCCATGATTATTCTGGATGCTGGGTCTAGAGAAGCTGGGAGTTCAGTTCCTATGAGAATCACTGTAACTACTAGGATTCCAAGAAAAATGGTGACCATAACCAGGTTTGATCCATGAAGAGACTGAAATGGGAATGGGCTGGCATGGAGCTGGATTTATCCTCTATCCTCTTCAATGAAGGAACCAAAAAAAAAAAAACAAAAAAAAAACACCTCAACTGCTACCTTGGATTATTACTCATTATAAGGCCATGGGTCTGGAGAAACAGGATATAGATATATTCTTGGGACCAGAAATTGTGCCAGGCCACCTACTGGTTTGCTATAGATCTGCTACAATAACCTCTGTCATGGATTGAACTATAATCCCCCAAAAATATGTGTCAGCTTAGCTGGGCAATGATTCCCAGTGGTTAGGCAGTTACATAATGATGTAATTTGGCAGTTATGCAATATGAAATTATCCCTCTGATACAATCCAATGTGATCACCTATCAGTTTTAAGAGGATTAGGATAGGATGCAACACCATTACTCAGGTCACAACCTTGATCCCAATAATGTAAGGGGAGTTTCCTGGGGATGTAGTCTGCATTATCTTTTATCTCATACGAGATATACAAGAGAGAGAAGTGAATAAAGAAAGAGGGACCTACTACGACCAAGAAAGAAGAGTCAGGACCAGAGTATATCTTTTGGACCCAGGGTTTCTGCACTGAGAACCTTCTAGACTCAGGGAAAGACTGAAGTCAAGCCATATGAAGATCACCCAGGAGCAGAAGCTAAAAGAGACAAAGCCTTCCTCCAGAACCAACAGAGAGAGAAAGGTTTTTCTTAGAGCTGGCATCATAATTTCAGACTTCTAGCCTCCGAAACTGTGAGAGAATGAATTTTTGTTTGTTAAAGCCATCCCCCTATGATATTTATGTTATAGTAGTGCTAGAAAACTAAGACAACTTCCTTGTCACTATGAGGTTAATTACAAGATCTACTTCTGTAGCAATACTGCCTTAGAAACCCAAGGAGGGGTTGCTATGAGTTGGGTCTGACTCGACAGTACATAACAACAACGACATTTCTGGATTAGGAGTTAAGCATTCAATTTAAGAAACCAAAAAAGCAAAAGTTTAAATTTAACTCAGAGGAAGGAAATAATAAAGATGAAAGTACAAATCAATAAAACAGAAAACAAAGTAAGTAATAGCAAAAATTAACAAAACCAAAAGCTGGTTTACTAGGGTAAAAATGTATTAAGATAAAATTCTAGAAAGATTTATTAAGTTGAAAAGACACAAAAGCAGTATTAAGAATACAAAAAGTTTACAGAGATTTTTTTTAAAAAAGAATAACATACATAACTTTTTGCCAAAAATTGAAATCTTGATGAAATGGGCAATTTCTTTTGTAAAAAAACTGATTCAAAGGAAAATCAAAAACTTAAGTACATTCATTACTATTAAAGAAAATAAATAAGTTGTTTAAAATTTATCTGGGGGGAAAAAGACTCAAATAGTATTACAGATAAATTCTATTAAACATTAAAGGAATGAATAACCATGACCTTTGCAGTGTAGTAAATTACTTTGTGTGGCTTTTCTACCCATAAGTCTTTGTAAACTCCAAGATGGGATTTGCTATGAGCAACCTGATTGCTGAAGGTGTCTACCTGGAGTATTTCTGTTGGGAGTGGCACAAAACAATGTTCTGGGAGGTGCCCACTCTCTCTCAGGTGCTTAGAGTTCCGATGCTGTAATTGGCTAGT